GGCACTGGCCACAATGCCCGGTCCAATTTTATTTTATTTTTGGGGACAGTCTCACTTTGTCACCCTTGGTAGAGTGCTGGGGCATTATAGCTCACAGCAACCTTTAACTCTGGGGTTCAAGTGATCCTCTTGCTTTGGCCTCCCAAGTAGCTAGGACCACAGGCTTCTGTCACATGCCTAGTTGTTTATAGAGATGGGGTCTCGAATTCCTGAGTTCAGGCAATCTACTGGCCTTGGCCTCCCAGAGTGCTAGAATTACAGGCGTGAGTCACAGCACCTGGCCTTAGGTCCAATTTTAATTAAAAATATAAAGTATAGAGAGAAACATCTAAAGCTGTTAGAGAAGAGGAAAGCATATACATTCAGATTGGTTGTATTTTACTTTTTGGTGCATGAATTTATGGTAAACAACGATGATTTGTGGCTTTCATTTCTTTATAAAAATGCTTGAAACATAATCTTTACTGTCAGAAATCCCGTACTTGAAGGAAACCTCAATTATCAGTGGCTTTATGAAGCAACATTAAAAACAAATGGAAAATGTAAAAATTTCTGTTTTGTCTGACTAGCTGGCTGCTCATTATGCTCTCTTTCAGTGTCTGAAAAAATTTTGCTATTTTATTATCCACCTTACAATTTGTGAAATAGCACTTGCGTTTGAGAATTGGATATTGCATTATGTAGGGGTTAGTTGATTGTGTCTACATTTTTCAAAGTTTTATATTGTGTTGTTATTATTATAAGTTACAGTGGTACCATTCTGAATATTTTCGGGCCTTGAAATAAATCCTAAATTTTTTTTCTTAAAAAAAAATAAAAGAAGTAAATGCAGCTGTTCAGTCCTCCACATTCAGCTTAGAGGTCTCTCGGCCCCCTCCAATGAGACTTATCCCTGCCACTTTGCCAAAACAGTTCTTGTCAAGGTCAAAAACCTTGCCTAATATGCTGGTCAATTCTCAAGGTTTATCTTACTTGAATTCTCAGTAGGATTTGATATGATTAATCCCCTTCTCCTTCTGGAAACATACTCTCCTATCTTTCCTGCTGTCATTCAGTCCCTTGGGCTGGCTCCTCCTCTGACTTCTAACTGTTGTGTGCCCTCAGGCTCAGTCCTCTGCCTTCCCCTCTCCTCCTCTCTACTTTTACAGTAGACCTTCCATAGTTGACCATAGCCCTACACTGCCCATCTCCTTACATTGACCTAATTTTCATAGACTAGACATGTACCACATGTACAACATATCAGTAGACTAGGCCTAGTTCCTTATGTTGACCAGTTTGTTGGTCTCTTGGGTGGTCAACTCACAGAGGTTCTACTGTATTCTCTTTAGTGACATGTGATCATGTAGATTTAAACGCTATCTATTGCCAGTATCTTTTTTTTTGAGACAGAGCCTCAAGCTGTCCCCCTGGGTAGAGTGCTGTGGCATC